TCTAATGCATGTGTAGAAGGGCCCAGAGTAAGTGAATCACATTAAACTCCTGCCTCCTTCTGAAATTCCATAAATGTGCTGCCATGCCACCTGCTGTCTAAAATAATTCAGGGTTAAAAAAATAATATAACATAGGTATAAGTTCATGCAGGTAATTTTCTTGCCTTCCTTGTAAACAATTGGTCTCTATAATACATGCTATCTGAAAAATCTCTTAAGAGCTTATAAGAATTTTAAAAGTACTTTTTAAAAAGTTATATACCTTAACTGATTCCATCACACAAAACAGTGTCATGGAATCGCAAAAGAATTTTAAGTGAGGTTTGCAACTCTATTCTTCAAAAATGTGAGCAGTGCATTGTTGCATAGGGACAACAATGTGAATATCTTACATAAAATTGTAATTCAAGAGGGAATTTGTAACTGATTAAATAATTATTCTATTATTCATTCCTCAGTATAAATGTATTTACATAGTCTTCAAGTAATCACCATAGTTACTATTAGCTGAGAAGTGTGTACCAGTATACATTTTTTGGGGTGAGGGGATACTTTGTATAAAAACAGTCATACCCAGTTAAGCTTATGTTTTTGTGGGTTTTGGGGCAGCATGTAATGAATGACTTCACCATACAGTATACATTTTCTAAGTTATTACTGAACTGAAGTGACAAGTCTGGTGGTTGGGATTTCCTGACATTTTGAAAAAGAATCTACCTCCTTATCAAAGTTAGTTGAAGACAGTCCAATTAGCCAAGCAATGTGAGCAAAGGAAAAATGGTTTATTTCTGAACAGAAATGTGGTGCTCACTCTTACTCTGAAATTCCAAAGTCAGACATATCAGCAATTGTTGGAGCTTTCCATTTATGCTGTATACAACTTGTTTTTCTTACATAAGCACATAGAAGAATTTGACAGCAGATCAAACCACATCCTTTCAGTTCAATACACATCCCCATCTGTCACAGACATTTAAAATCCCAAGTTATCCCTGGAATTGGCTCTCTTTGTTTTGACTTGCTTATCACAACAGATAGCATGATCAAATCCAATCAATGGAAATCATGTTTACATTCAGAGGATCGATTACTGTAAACAGAAGTTTTAATTACCACTTGAAGATTAGAGGGGAAAACTAAAATAGAGAGGACGCTCCCTTTCTCACCTGCAGGAGGGGTCTGGGTTTGCCTACAAGGACCTTTCACGTCAAGGAAGTTGATACTTTAAGGAGGGTTTATTCTTTTGAATTAATATTTCTATCTCAAAAAATTCAGTTTATTTTTGTCAGTGCATCTGAGGAAGTAGATTCCAATCATACTAAAATAATCTGGCTAGTTTTAAGGGTGCCAGAAGAATATTCTTTTCCAACTAGAAGTTCCCTTCTTTTTAAATCAGAGCAGTCACGGGAACCAAAAAGTACGATTCTGTTCTTAAACAGGGACTCCTGAAATACCTATTTGTTCCAAGCAATTTATCCCCAATTGCAGACCCAGGAGAAACAAGTTGAGCTTTGCTGGGGCAGTATTTCAACAGGCGCTGAAGCGTTCAGCACATGTCAGGATTTGAGCTCATGTAAGCAAGTTCTATTTGGATGTAGTCAGCCAGAACAGGAAGCTTCAATAACCTTATCAAGCCAAGCTGGACTCCACATAGTAACACTGGCAACTTCACACACCAGCCTCTCGCCAGCCCCATTCATGGATTGCTGCAATACATCATGCTGTGTTTTTATGGGTTCCAGCAAGGGCTGATGGGAAGCCAACCTTGCCCTTTGCTCAGTGGGCGACATAGGCTGAAATTACTGGTGTCTGGGGCTGTGAAATGGAGTGAGGGGTGCAGATGCAGGAAAGGAGTCCCAAAACCCACAACTTTGGTTTATGTGGAGAGTTCAGGCAGGAAGGAGAAGGAAGCTGCTAAGTTTATTTATCTGGTTTTCACCATGAAGGCTAACCCATTGACACAAAACCTCAATACCTAACACAGCTGCCAATGCTTAAACAGAATTATTGTTTCATTAAACAGTGAAAACAAGCCTAGTGCCAAGGACAGCAACATGCTTTCATGGCCAAGGAGCCAGATTGATTGAATCTACTGCCCAGTGAAATTATTTTGCAGGGTGCAACCTTTTATTTTTATTTATGCTGTCATTCCTTTAGGGTTTAATTCCCCTTTCTCACGTCTGGACTTGCAGATTTCACATTTCTCTTATTCACATTTTAGAAAGGAAGTGGTATTTATTTAGGCCGACACCTCTGGTTAAGACAGGTATAAGCATGAATCTGGAAGAGCCCCACAATAGAAAAAGTAACTGGGGAAGACTGGAGACTGAGCATTGGGAAAAAGAGGAAGGGAGTGAGGGAGGATTAAGTACACCCTCTCCCTGCTGCCTCCCTGCTACAAATGTCCCCCTTCTAAACATGCACTGGCTATATACCGTATTCATTATCTAGTATAAGTATAGTAATATAAAGGATGTGTTTGGGATTCTAAAAAAAAATCTGTCTGCTTGGGAATGAATTACCATACTGGTCATCAGTGCGACTGGCTAAACAAATCATAAATCCCCTTATGTCGGTGGTTTGTTTATTGTGACAGCCCAAGTAGGTACAACCTGGCCTTCTCCCTATGTGCCTCATGGCAAGCCAAAGACATAACCCATGGCTTATTCTGCCACAGGCAGATGGCCCATGAACCATTTGCAATAGGCCTAGGATTAAATTTTCTGCCTCAGGACCTTCTGGAGGCTGCATAGAATGTACAGTATTAATTTTAAGAGGAAAGCACATGGATTTTAAACAGCACTGAATGTTTTCTGCATATGTATGTTCTGTAATCCACCCTGAGGCCCCTTCAGAGTGAGAAGGGTGGAATATAAATACTGTACATAAATAAATAAATAAATACATTTGAATGCTGGATTCAGTTCAAGAAGCACTCCCGTTGGCCAGTCTTGGAAGCTTGTTGTTGTTGTTCATTCGTTCAGTCGTCTCCGACTCTTCGTGACCTCATGGACCAGCCCACGCCAGAGCTCCCTGTCGGCCGTTACCACCCCCAGCTCCTTCAAGGTCAGTCCAGTCACTTCAAGGATGCCATCCATCCATCTTGCCCTTGGTCGGCCCCTCTTCCTTTTCCCTTCCACTTTCCCCAGCATAATTGTCTTCTCTAGGCTTTGCTGTCTTCTCATGATGTGGCCAAAGTACTTCAACTTTGTCTCTAGTATCTTTCCCTCCAGTGAGCAGTCGGGCTTTATTTCCTGGAGGATGGACTGGTTGGATCTTCTCGCAGTCCAAGGCACTCTCAGAACTTTCCTCCAACACCACAGCTCAAAAGCATCGATCTTCCTTCGCTCAGCCTTCCCTAAGGTCCAGCTCTCACATCCGTAGGTTACTACAGGGAATACCATGGCTTTGACTAGGCGTATCTTTGTTGCCAGTCTGATGTCTCTACTCTTTACTATTTTATCGAGATTGGACATTGCTCTCCTCCCAAGAAGTAAGCGTCTTCTGATTTCCTGGCTACAGTCTGCATCTGCAGTAATCTTTGCACCTAGAAATACAAAGTCTGTCACGGCCTCCACGGTTTCTCCCTCTATTTTCCAGTTGTCAATCATTCTTGTTGCCATAATCTTGGTTTTTTTGACGTTTAGCTGTAACCCGGCTTTTGCGCTTTCTTCTTTCACCTTGATTAGAAGGCTCCTCAGCTCCTCCTCGCTTTCGGCCATCAGAGTGGTGTCATCTGCATATCTGAGGTTGTTAATGTTGGAAGCTTACAGTCCATGTAATTTGCCCCTTTTTATTTTTGGGCAGAAAAAGGGCAATGTGAGGAGGCTAGAGGGGTTGAGGACTAGAAAAACAGCTTTGGAGGCGATGTGAGACTCCAAGATCTCATTTGTTTATTACTCCCACTTGCAATTGGAGGAATAAGCCAGGCTGTTCTTAAATCCTGATAATTGTGACACCCAGAGCCAGTCAAAGTCCTGCTCTGATATAACCATGTATTTGTGCCATCTTCATATAACATGCACTTGTTGGGCAAGTAGGCAGGAAGGCTTAAAACAGTCAAATACAAGCATAGAGGAATCTATCTTTATCTCTCATGTAACTATGTGACCTCAAAGTTGTAGTGCATGGTTTCTGGCTTTTAGAAAAAATAACAGGAAAGAAAGGGGCGGGGAGATAGGTAATGAGCATAAATGACATCCCAGTCCTTTGCACACTCAAAAACGTTGCTAGTCTCCCACAGCATGCTTCTTGAAGCACGGGTTATAATTACGCGGTTGGCTTTTTTTTTTTTACTTAAATGAGGACAAACATCTAAGGCAGTGAATGAGTGCCTCCTTCCTTGTGTACTTTTATGTAGAAAAGTGGGGTATATATTGAAATAATAATAATAAAAAGTATTTATCCATGTGACCAACATCCTTGTAGTTTTGAGCCTTAGATGGCAAGTTTCACAACAGTGCCACCTAATGATGCCTCCTGTGAAATGGAATTGACATTCATTTGTATGTCACTTTCTGAGCAAAGGAAATGAGCCAAAATGTAACTTGTCTATGGAATGGGCCACTGCTGTGTGTGTATGTGTGTGTTTTATGTGATGATGTTAAGACAATGCATTTTCCAAGCTCACCATTCCTTTCTATGTGATACCAGTAGAAAGTTAATGGCAGCCAGATTTTTTTAGGCTTGCAAGCATGGAATGTATTAGGACTCTGGAGCTGGGAAAAATTAAGGAATAGGATTTGCTCCAGAATCCACTAGGCTTTTCTTAGGACAGTTGATAGGAAAATGTCTAAAAATGTAGTTCTGCTCTGAAAATGCAGCCCTGGAATTTCAAGCTGGAGCCCAAAGAGAGGCTGTCTGGATCTGCTGATCCCTCTCTGAACGACCCTGCCAACCTAGCATGTAATTTTTTAATGCTGTGTTGTGTTTTCCTGGCATGTTCTCCAAGCATACAAAGCTGCCTTTGTTCAGACTGCTGGAGCACTTCCTCTCTTAGACTGATTGGGAACTGTGCACTCAATTTCAAGCTTTCACTGTCTGATGGGCATTGAAGAGCAACTGTGCAACAGCAGCAGGAGCAGCCACAGCAGATTCAGGGACATCAGAGCACGCTGCTGCTGCAGCACACTTTGGCACTGTTCTTCTGAAAGAACAGGAGAAGACTCAGCATTTACAGGTTTAATTTTTAGAGATTTGATTATTCACAGATTTGATTAATATATTCTCTTGAGGAATCTCTTGGTCCTCTAGTGTATCTCTGTAATCAAATTCCTCCTGAAATTGACACTATAGAGTTGCACTAGAAGACCAAGGGATACCCTAGGGAAGTGTTCTTTTGGGTATTTGTGGTTTTTCCCACCTCTTACCCCTATGAACGAGGGAGGGGAGTTATTAAAAGCCTAAATCCAATGTGACTGAGACTATTTCTTAGAGGAGGCCTAGTGAAATAAAGTGGACCTGCCACAATAGCCAGTTTAAGTTCTGCATATGCCTTCTCTATGTGAGACATTCCTTTGGCAACCCTGACTTTCCATGTTGTTTTGGGTCTACAACTCCTATAGCTCTTAGCCAATATAACCCAGATGGAAGTGTATGTGGCTTGTAGTGAAAAACCATCTGGAAGCCCATCCTTGATGTAAGAACTTAGGGAAATACTTTAGAGTTGGCCAGCCATCCGAATGCACCTCCTATTATCCCCCCTGGCGAGTTTTGTTGGAAGTCACAGTCCAACAACTTTTGGAAAGCCACAAAGTTATCCAAAACTGATTTTAGTTATCAATTGTTTTGAGTCCCATGTGAGAAATCTTTCCTATCAGTAGCTACCTGACCCACTCAAACTAGAGATGCCATGAACTGAGACTGGATGTAATTCTTCACCAAGCTTCTTTCTGAGGGCAGCAATAAATAATTTTAACATTTTAATAATAATAATAATAATAATAATAATAATACTTTATTTGTATCCCACCACCATTTCCCAAAAGAGACTTGGGTGGCTTTCAAGCATGTGGCAGTGCAGTGGAATATACAAATACAGTAAAACACCATAAGACACATAACACAAAATACAGTAAAACATATAACAGTTATAAACAATAACAAAGTCAATAACATAAAACAGATGTACTTAAAACAGCATAAAACCCCTTATTAATTAAAGTACTCAATAAAATGCAGAAATAGCTGCAGATAAAATGGTCGTATCAGTTCAGTCACATTAAATGCCTGAGTAAAAAAAAAAAGCACTTGCTCCTTAGGTATTAACTAAAGTTTAAGCCTGTTCACATTTCACTTCCCAATGTGAGAAAGTGTTCAAAAACCATGCTGTTTTCAAAGGCAACACAATTCACATGTGGTTGTTTCCCACACAAAAAAGTATTTTTCTGTGCAGGGAATATTTATATGTGGGAAATAGTATTTCCTCACTGGTTCATTACTGAAATCAATACACCACACTGGCTCAAAAATGATAGAAACCATTTTGGTTCTCATGCAGCTTTGTGCAAGTGCATTCCAGAAAGCTGTTCTGTGTCCCAGGGAAGCCTAGAGCATACCATCAATGTACATGCCACACCCCAGCACTATCTAACTTAGCCAAAGAAAATGAAACAATCTTTATAGCAGAAGAGGGTAAACACAAATGTTATTATTTTCTCCTGCTCAATGAAAGGACTACAAAGCATTAGGTAATTGTAATCTTTCTGAGACAGTGATGCAAAAGTCAATCAATACCAGTAAAGGCAAATTATCTTCTAAATTCTGGAGCCAGCGTCAGTAGAGAGGGCTGCCAAGTGGAGAGAAGCTAAGCAGAGATTGTGTCATCCTGTAAACAGGGTGGAGAAGGGATTTGTTGGAAGAATAGACCCTATGTACTCATGTATATAAATCTAGAAGTTTTCGTCACAATATAAACTCAAAAACCTGGGTCGACTTATCCATGAGCCAGTGTGAGCATAGTACCTTAATGCTTTATATATAAAAGAACCGTTCCCCATCCTGCCCTTGTCTTACACATGAGTGTATGTGGTAAGTGAACAGTGATGATACAATTCTCAGTTAATTGCACATTAATAATATATCTGTTGAAGTGGTCACGCTAGATGAACATTTTCAGTACTCACAATGTAAATGGATGACCTCTGCGTAGCCTCCAACAGTCCCAACTTGGCAGGTACAGTTCTGATTAATAATCTATAATTCCATTTTTTTACAGTTTTTAAAATGTACTAGTTTTTCTCTCACCTTCTCAATTTTCTCTATCTTTAGCTCATCTCAACTGCAACAAACTGAGTTCATAGTGTAGAAGTAGTCTGAACGCAATGACTTCAGAGGAATGGGGGTAAAGGCAGTGGCAGAGTTTTGACTTTCCCAATAGGCTATGGCAAAAGCAAACTGGTACAATTTATCCTAACTTGTATGTAAAGAATTACCTAGCTGAGTTGGATCAGTGCTTTCTCCTTTCAATGTCAAAGTGATACAAAGCAATAATGTAGCTTTGTTCCTTATAAATGCAATGTGTCTTCCTCTGGCAATTCATTGTGAGTTACATTGCTTGTGACAAGATACTTCCAAACCTGGATTCTGGTCCTCCAAATGTCTTGAACTTCAACTCCCAGAAGTCTCGGATAGCTTGGCCAATGGCTGCAGGAATTGTAGTCCAGAACAACTGGAGGATCAGGAGTTCCCATTGCCTGCTCAGCTATGAAGGAAGTATTTTTCTATACTTCCTTCATTTCCCCTGTAAAGCTTGCTGTTATTATTTGCTGCACTTTGTTTCTTGTGTAGATCAAGCTTGAGTTAAATTCCAAATGCCCCCTGCCCCTCCCAGCACCAGGAATAATGATGAGTGGCTCTTTCCAATAAGGACTGGGAGTATCACTGTGTCTGCTGCATGCCATTCAAATACATGGCCTTGTCCTAAATTGACTCTGCCATTATTATCTCTCTCTTATGTACTTGCTATGGAAACAGTGACAACTTTGGAAAGGTCTTGGGAGGTGCCCCTGCATTCCCGCTGCAAGGTGGGAGGCTGGACAGAATGTCTTGCTGGCTTGGCTTCTGGTTTGCAACCTGCTGCCCATATTAAGAAATATCCAATTTTGTACACGTGTAGTCTACAAGGTTAATGTCTATTCACCACTGTTGTTTAATAAAGTAGGATGCTTCCTCCAGAGCTCAGTACATTGTACTGGAATTTAAGCAACTGATTATTGCCCTAATCTAGATTTCCTGCTGAAACTTAACTTTTAATTATTTGATTTGGATGCTAGCAGATGAGAACCAGCATTGTGTCATCATCTGGTTTTGGAGAAGGACTTTGGAGGCCAGGGTTCAAATCCCTGCTCAGTTATGGAAACCCAAAGGATGACTGTGGACAAATCACGCTTGAAGGAAGGCAATGGCAAACCTCTACTGAGTAACTCTTTCACAGGCAATCATATGATAGGGTCATCATAACTCCGATTTGTCATTTCATCCAGTCATGTTGATGGATATTAAAGGATACATATGGAGAGATAGCAGTATTTCATCTGCTTTATAGCTTTGATTAAAGTACACTAAGAACAAAATACAGTACGGCCACCATATCTACAGATTTTGCATGGGTACACAAAATCCAAAACCACAGATAATAGCAAACCCTTACCTGAAGGAAGAATACCAGGCTTATAGTCATGTGGAAAGTACTAGAAAATGCCTAGACATGTTTAAATGAAGCTACAGATATGAGTCTTGCTGATATTGATGTCATAGCAAATCTGTGGTTTTCATTCTACCTGGTGGGGGTTCACTCCCCTGACAAATCTAGAAATTGAAAAGTATGACCACTGTCTCTTGACTTGTAATATTAGTTGCCTTGTTACTGAGATATTCTGCATGTATATGACAGATAGGACTTCATTTTTCTTAAGACTTTCGTGTATCTGTGCTGTTGTTTTGGTTTTTTTTGTGGATTTTTTTTAATGCTGTTCTCATACTAATCTTCATCCAGCACCAACACTGCTCTCTGTTTCATCCCCAAGAGATAAAGTATTGTCATTTGAGTGCTTGGAAAATATTATATCCCAGCAACAAGAATTCCAAACAGTAGGAAAAACATCTGGAGCCCCAACAAATGAATGACAACCATGCATTTATTACATGAAAAAAGATATTGTCTGGGAAGGCATTGGGCTAGAGCACTGCATTAGGGGGCCAAGTTACATTTTCAAACCCTATTGCTTGGGGTTTTTCCATTATGAACAGAAGCACAGAGATGGACTTTAGAAAATCTGCTTGAGGGAACATTACCAGGAAAGGGAGAGTTACGGTGAGAAGCAAAAGGCAGTAGTAGGATTAAGCAAACTCTGTTCACCCTCATTTGTCTTATAAATTTACCAAGTGTTCATATGTATTTTAAAAATTGGGTCCTGGAATAAAAACTGGACATATTATTTTAGTATTTTAGAATACTTATTGATTTTTATTCCATTTTTACACTAAAGATAGTAGCCACAGTGATCAATAAATGTCATTAAAAACAATGTAAAATAATATGAATGTTAAAAACAACATATCTAACTATATCAACCTACCGAGATTCTTGGGAAAGGACTTTCTCTTGGTCCCACCCCTTTATGAAGGTGTGGGGCAAAGACATGGGAGAGGTCCTTCTTGATTGTAACTCCCAAGCTGGGGCATTCACTCCCTTGGGAGTCTAAGCTGGCTCTCTGTGTTCATCTTCCAATGGGAGATGAAGACCTGTTTGTTTCAACAGACATTTGGTGATTAATTAGAATCATAGAATACTAGAATTGGACCACATGGGTCATCTAGTCTGACCCCCTGCCATGCAGGAAAAGCATAATCAAAGCACCCCGACAGATGCCCATCCAGCCTTATTTTAAAAACCTCCAAGGAAGGAGCTCCCACCTGACCACACTCTAAGGCAGAGAGTTCAACTGCTGAACAGCTCATACAGTCAGGAAATTCTTCCTTTGATTATTTTAGTTAATTAATTGCATAAAAGTCTTTTTTGTAGATGGGGTGTTGCATTTCTAATCTTTGTTAAGTCCAGACCACCCACAAAACCTCACCTTGCTCTTAAGCAATACCAGGCCAGTGAAAAATAAGACTGATATCATCCATGATCTCCTCAAAGATGAGGGAGCTGACTTGGCATGTTTCACTGAAATT